TCTGTGCCGGCTGGGGCTCTCCCCGCAGCAGCTCCACCGCCTCCCGCTCCACCTGCACCTGCAGCAGCTGGTGCTGCCCGAGGGCCCACTCTGCACCCCCCCGCCACCCCCCTTCCTGCGCACCCTGCGCCGCTTGGGGCTGCCCGGGCACCGGGAGCCCCCTGCAACCCGCTCCCCTCTGCCACCCCATTAAATCCTACCTGCTGCCGGGGCGGCTCAGTGCCCATTTCTTTCCTTGGCACCCACCAGTCCCCACAGCATTGCTGGGGGCACCAGCTCCCCCCAAGCGGAGCTGGTGACAGCAGCCCTGCCACCGCCCCTGTGCCTGACCTGGTTCCCAGCACCGGCGTGCGGCGGTGTCACCACCACCATGGCTCCGCCTGGCAGGCGCAACCACAGGCAGGCAGGAGCGGAGGTGTCTTTTCCTGCCCACTCTCTGCCCCTGGCCGAGGAGCTGCCACGGCAGCCCTGGTTCCTACCCACAGCCCCGTCCTGCGTGCAGCTGTGGCCGTGCCCAGGCCCTCCCACACACAGAGGGGCAGAGGCAGGCTCTCTGTCACAATCGTGTTTTGCAGCCCCCACGGGGGGTGGGCTGGGTGCCCCCACCCAGTACTGGGGTCTGGCTGGGGTGAGGGGGAGCTGGGTGCCGCCGTGTAGCCCCAGCTGGACGGGGCAGGGTGCTGTGCCCTCCTGGGCGTCCTTCAGCGTCACAGCTCTTCTGCCTGCCCTGGGGAGCTGCCGTGTGCCTCCTCCCCGCAGCGGGGCTCGGCTGCCCCGGGCAGGGGCACAGGGTCCAGGCGCAGGGTGCCAGTCTGGGTGGGCGCAGCACCCTGGCAGGAGGGGAGAAGGGGGGCTGGCCTGTGGGTCCCCAGGGGCTGCCGGGGGCTCCCCAGGGTGGTGGGACGGGTGCCCTGCCCAGGGGACGGATGCTAAGCTGGGGCAGAGCTGGCTGGGGCTGCCTGAGGAGGCAGCTGGGCTGTGGCAGCCCCCCGCTCCTGGCACAGCAGCCTGGGGTCTGCGGTGGTGCTGGGGGGACAGAGCCAGGGGGGCAGCGATGGCTCCATTGCTCCATAGGAGCCGGCTTCCCCCGCCCTGCCCGTGGCTGGGGGACTTGGGTGGCTCTGCGCCAGAGGCTGGGGTGCACAGGGGGCTGAGGGGCACAGGGCGCAGCAGTGGGGGGCTTGCCCCTGGATCGGTGCTGTGCTGGCTGGGGCTTCGTCAGGGAGCAGCCTTCCACCATCAGCTTCAGCCCCACATACAGAGGCACGGGCACGGCTGCCTGCAGAGGGACATGGGGGAGGAGTGGGGGCTCAGGGTGCCATGGGGGGTGCTGGTCCCACAGCCCCCCCAGCCTACCTCCTTGTAGATGAGCTCGAAAGCGCCGGTGGGGCAGTTGGGGTCATCCCTGCGGTCGATTACCACACGCAGCGTGTCCCGCTGGACATCGGCACACAGCCGGCTGGTCACTGCTGAGGAGGGGGCCATGGTGGGGCTGGCGTTGATCTCCAGCAGCCAGGGCTGGCAATCCTCTCCAAAAACAAAATCGGCCCCGTAGAGCTCGAAGCTGCCCTTGCGGGACCCCACCAGGTCCTGGGCGCTGCGCAGGGCACCCACCACTGCCGCCTTCATGCCAGGAACCATCACCTGGTGCCAGGCGTCCGCCTGCCCCACCTGTGCCAGGTACGCCTGGAGCTGTCGGCAGGACCAGGTCTGGTCGGGGGGCAGCCGGGGGTGCCGGCTCCGCGCCGGCCTGTACCACTTCTGGATGGAGACGTTGCAGAGGTGCCGGGCACTGGGGTGGGGAGAGCAGGACTGGGTCAGTGGGGTGCCAGTGGGGTGCCAGTGGGTGCCGGGGTACCGGGGTCCGGCACAGGGGACACTCACGGGTCCAGGCGGCGCAGGGAGAAGGGCCGGGAGCAGAAGCGCAGGTAGCTCTCACGGTAAAACCAGACGGTCAGCGGGTTCCAGTTGGTCACCAGGAACCATTGCCGGACATCAAATTTGGTGCCAAAGATGAGCAGCGGCCGCTCCACGTACTTCTGCACCACCCACTCGCCCGCCTCCGCCGAGGGTGCCATGCAGCCCCCTGCCAGCTGCAGCACCTCCTCCAGCCGCACTGTGCAGACGATGCCTGGGGGACGCGGTGACGGTGGGACCCCTCCTCGGTGGGGAGCCTGTGCCCCCCACTTCCCCCAGCCTTACCCCTGCCACGGGATTTGGCACCAGGCTTGAGGATCCAGACGTTGCGGTCGCCCTCCATGCCGAGCTGGGGCAGCCGCCCCCCCAGGTGCCGCAGCAGGGCCCGGCACTGCTCCTGCTGCGCCCCGCTCAGCGCCAGACCGGCCCCCTCACTGCGAGGGGATGCGGGGGGCTCAGCACCAGCCCCACCATGGTGTCATCCCCCCATCCCGCTTGGCACTCACTGCACCACGCGGTAGTAGTCCTGTCGGAAGCGGTCCCAGCCAGCACCCGTCATGCAGGGGGATGGGGGGTCCCCATCGATGTCCTGGTGCCCCAGGCTGCCCAGGTGCTGCCCGCAGACCTGCAGGGCCTCCTCCACCAGCTGGGGGGGCAGGGGGGACCCTGGCCCTGCTGTGGATGGCATGGGGTGAGGGACATGTCTCCTGGGAACCTGCTGTGCCACCCTCGGGGCCAAAGCACAGAGCCTCCCCGTGGGATGGGTGGCTTTGGGTGCATAGGGATGGGGGGCCAGGGGGCAGAGCACCCATAAAGTGAGCTGGTGGGAGGGAGTGTGTGTGTGGGGGGGGGTCCCAAGCCACAGTCACCAGCAGAGGCTCAGCCCCCAGACATGTCCCTGACCCTGAACTCCCCATTGTCCCCCCACCCATGCCTGGCCGCACGCACTCACCTGGCCCCTTGCTGGATTTTGGGGGCTGCTCCGTCCCTGCCGGCATGTCCCCAGCCCTCTCCAGGGCCACTTTAAGTAGGCTGCGAGCTGCCGTCAGGTGGAAATCCTCTGCAAGGGGGGGCATCGTCCCCACCAAGTCCTGCACAGGACACGGGGAGACTGGGAGCACGGGG